TTCTCTCTCTTTCTGAAAGAGGCAAAAAACCTGCAGGGATATGCTATGATCACATGATCATGAGAACAACTACATTAAGCTGTAGTTGTTCTGTTGACTACAGTGTCCCTTGTTGAATGCATTGCTTATTTTTGTGTTGTCAGTGAAAATGACTAGTTTTAATTAATTGGCAGATGGAAATAATTTTAAGACTATTCTATATCTTGCACTGTTATACATTTCTAGTATGACTGCAATTATATGTGACTTATAAACCACCGATTAAGGTAAACGTGTAGGTATGAAATATTGCCCTTATTGAAGTGTATAAAATAGTGACTTTCACAACTTCCAAAGTGAACTTGATAAACGTGCAATAATTTAACTTTTAGCGATTAATATAAATTTTCCAAATGGCCACTCACAATTTATAAGCCAAAAAATGATCCTTCAGAATTGTACTTGTATAAAGTGACTTCCCTCATTGAAGAGTGTTGGGAACAGTAAGTTTAAAATTTTAGAAAGCCATGCTGAATGTACGGATTTTAAGATGCAGAAATTGCCTAATTAGTTACTGTGGCAAAAGTAACCTCGCCACTGGTTTTTGGAGGGGTCTGTTTGCCAGCCTCCTACCCTGTGATTATGGCCCCTGTAATGAACTTTGGGTTAAAGACTATAGTTGTGCCTCTTGGACTTACAACAGGAACAATTCAAACTTTTGAAGAGGCACTTCCAACTCCTGAAGCCATTTGTGGTGGCAGCCATCTTGTTTAGTCGAACGCATCCAGCGGTGTTTGGTCCTCGAGTGCATGGAACTCAAATTGGACACTCGAAGGCATGAACACCGCTAAACTTTACCTTCCGTGTTCGGCTATTTGAACAGGAGTTGAACGGCTCTTAGTAAAAAGAAACTCACTAACAAGGGACATATAATGACTTCATCCACGGACGGCTACGTTCGGTATTTCGAACTGTACTTCGAATCCCAGAAGTAGACTGGCCGCACAGCCTGATTCTCTGGAACTGTTCTGGGCATGAAACCATGCGTGCAGTCGGTCAAAATAAGACTTCCAGGAAATTCCTGAACTGATCTGGGTGATTTTTGGATATGTTGGTCACCCAGATCAGGGATCAGGGGATGTAACAATTGTGGGGATATCATGTGTTTTGGGGTACTTTTGGGGTTTTGTAAAATATGTGGAGGGGTTTTCTGCCTGGAGATAATTGGGTTACTACAGTATCTCACTCAATTATCTCACAGGCAGAGGGGAGGGATTGTATGCTTGCTATGGGAGTGTCGTACATTTAATTATTGTTCTGATTGGTTTGTAAGCTTTGTGTCCATTTACCCAACAAGGTCCATGTGGGTGTACCCCTTGCTTGGGGGCTTTGCCTAAAAGGCCAGTGTGGCACCATTAAAATTGAGTTCCTGCTTACCCTCAACATAGTCTCATCTCATGTGTGGGGGAAACGGCTGTATCTACCCTTGGGATAGCTATATCACTATACTCCCCTGGGATTATAATCACTAGCTCTGTTAAGAGCTGTTCCTATTACGCTTTCTGGAGTAGGAGAGGTTCACCCACTGGAAGCTGGATCCTGGTTTTGGGCCCAGGGTGGGTGAAGGACGGCGAGTTCCCAGCCAAGCTGTAACGCTGGATATGGAGACTACAGTGCTGATGGTGTCGGGTGGAGTGCTTGGAGCCCTCAGTGAGCACTAGAGGCGTCTGTTTGCGGAGGCACCCGGTTGGGGTGCCAGGCGGTCCGTCACAATTACTAGCTGGCAACAGAATTTGCTTAAATAGATCTGTCGCAAATGAGGATAAATGTTATGACTGATGTGTCTTAAAGAGATACTCCAAGCATGACAAAACATAAGCTTATTGTATGGATTCTGGTGCAAGGAGTTACCTTGAACGCAGTTGCTCAGAAGTCCCTGCAGACCACCGGTTTTATTCTCTATACATTTATAGTATATAGCTACTAATTTGTTTGTATGTGTTTTTTGTTTCTCTCTCATATTCGGGGATAAAAACTAATTTCACAGTTTTCCTGTTCTATTTTGCAGGCATCAGGAATGCTCTAATTTTGACAGAAATTGGACCTAAACGTGATCCTGCAACATTAAAATTGTTCTTGGGCAACATTGAGACCTTTCTTAAATTCCATGCACATGGGTAAGCAGTGCACATGGTAATATGTTCTGTCCCTATTTATATGCTTCCATTAAAGAGTATTTGCTCATGAGCTCTCTCTTACTGCCCAACAGGGTACGTGTGATCGGAAGTGCCACATTGGCTTTATGTCATATAGCAGCAGGTGCTGCCGATGCTTACTACCAATATGGACTTCACTGCTGGGATTTGGCAGCAGCAACTGTAATAATTCAAGAAGCTGGGGGTTATGTTATCGATACAACAGGTATGGGAGTTTTAAAGGCTCAGCGTGTGTTTGTGGATTATTATTTTCATGATTTGGCTTCTACAGTCTGGAAAGGAATTTGAGTGATCAGTACATGTTTTTCAAAGTGATGGCTAACTATAGACATGTGGTTTCTTCTTTAACCCCTTAAGGACCAAACTTCTGGAATAAAAGGGAATCGTGACATGTCATGTGTCCTTAAGGGGTTAATGAAGACTATACAATATTAATTGCATGAACACCTAACTTTTAAAATAAACTTAGTGCTGTAGCAGCTGTAAATGGAAATTTGTTAAATGTTAATTTGATCTTTCTCGTGAGAGGTTAGAACTTAAGGGATTTAAATTCATGAGCACTTCCAGATAAATGTAATGTTTCCAGTAATAAGCTGATACTCTTCATTTTTGGGACTTTATTGGTACTTTGTGACCGTTGGGCACAAGTGTAATTTTTATTCTCGCAGTGACGCTTTGTATCAATCAGAAAAGAACAGTATCGCAAAGGGAAAAAAAAATAAAATTCAGTTTTGTTGAAATGAGAAATGTTTTTTTTTTTTTTTATTTTAAAAATTTTTTTCCCCCTCACCACTAGCTATAATCCATGTATACATATGTGACACGGTCTCAATTGTACATCTTTTCACAGAAACCTCTTCTGTTTATATCTCAAAGTTCCTTGAGATTTCTCTGAAACTTCTATGTTTACAGCTGCAGGGTTAAAACCTGAGGGACCTGGCACCCAGACAACTTCATTGAGCTCAAGTGGTCTGGGTGACTATAATGGTCCTTTAAGGAAGAGTGCAAAGCTGTAAATCTTCAAGGTATTTCTATGCACACCTTGATCTTAATTTTACATGTATCTGAAAGTGACAAGAAATGAAAGTTTCTAGAACCCTCAAACTGAAATCTAACATTCTTGCTCAACTAAACAAATTTGTAATAACCAAGCCACCATTTGCCCACCCCTCATCCGTATCCTACCTTCCGTACTTTGTACCCCCGACCCACTGCCTACCCCCCCTCCCTGATCCTGGTCATGGAGACCTATTTGTATTCTCACACCTCCTTGGCAAATGTAAGATGAGTACTGTATGCAATATTGTACCCTATCCCCCTCCCTCTTCCTTTTTGTACCCCACCCCATCCTCAACACCAAACGATTGCAAAAGTTGATCTAACCATAGAATCTAGTTGTATACAAACAACATACGCTGTAACCAAAGATGTAATATCTGCATTCCTGCTCAAATTGTTTGACTGTCGCTTTGAGTACATGCCTGTTATACAAAGATTGTAACACAAACTTTAACCCCACTTTTTTTTTCTGTACCCCTTCCCCCAAAAAACAAAATCTTTACAAATAAAGAATTTTCAAAAACTAAACAAATTTGTAATCTGAGAACTTTGCATTTTGATTCCAGGTGGACCTCTGGACTTGATGTCATGCCGAGTAGTAGCTGCTGGTACCATGGAGCTTGCACAGAGCATAGCTCGAGAATTACAGACTATTGATTATGGACGTGATGATAGCTGAAAATGTCTGCCTTGTGTTGAAAGATTGGTGATTTTTTTATTTTTTTTTCCCTTGAAAAATTATTGCACCCAAACGTGGATTAAAAATATTAATGGCCTGCTTTGGTGTAGGAGTATTTTAGAGGCATACAGCACACCATTTAACCCTTTTGAGTGTTTCTTTATTTTATTTTTTTTCTCCCATTTCCTCTGGTTTTCTCTGTCTTTGTACTGTATATTGACAAATTGTTGCACTCAAGATGCAGACAGATAAAAAAAAAAAAAAAATCTAAAGTGTTCTTGAAATATGCAACTAAAATGTAAACCCTTTTTTATTTTTTCTCAACCAAATTCTCAGGTACCAGAAGTTTAGAAAATGTACTTGTTTAGTCCCTTAAATGCTTTCCACTGTTGTAATGACAATCTTAGGATTTTGTTTGTTTGTTTGGTTATATTTTAAGATGTATGAACATCAACTTGAAGTATTAAGATTTGTTTAAATCCCATTTGATATTTTTTTTCCCTTTCTTTCTTAGATCTCTTCATTAGCATTGTATATCTATGACCATCCTTAGTCAGATGTACGTGTTGTGTTTAAATTCTTACCAAGAATATCATTGTAGTTGAATTGAAAGTTAAACATGTGTTTGCAGCTTTTATGTCAGTAAACATTTCTTCACTTTCCAAACTTGCTTCCTGGCTACAACTATTACAAAACTGAACTTGTTAAACGCAATCATGCCCACCAGAACTGCAGACAAATATAAAAGAGGAAATCTGACTTGTGAGTCTCTAAATTGTTTTTTTTTTTTAAACTGAATTCACCGATTTGCTGTTTAAACAAGCATTACACCTACAAGAATTATCTGCTACCCTTTAATGGTGGTTCGATCACAATGCTTTTCTTTTCCTCTCTTGTAAAAAAACCAAACAAAACTAACTTTACTGCTTTCAGGATGAAGGGGGTAAAACACAGATTTAGCCATTTTACCATATTGGCACACAAACCGTGAATTAAAGCCTATCCATAATTGTAAATAATATGTATGCAGAAGTAAAGTAGATAGAAGTAACATATATCTGTGTCCTAAGGTGTGTGTGTGTGTGTATGTATGTATGTGTGTATATATATATATATATATATATACACACACACACACACACACACACACACACACACACTCCTATAAATAAGATGATGCAAAAATTATCCTAAGCTAAACAATATTCAATAATTGCAGCAACCAACACAATCTGGTAATGAGATTTAAATACAGTAGCAAATTGGAGTGCTGGTGTGCAAAATGTACAAAAGACCCTTTGTGGATATGAAAAAAAACCTTTTTAAGGTGATCCTCAGAACTCACAATCTAGGAGTATTCTAGATGTATTAAAAAACGGTGATTAAGTGGTATTAGTGATACAACCAACAATGTGAAATATATATATCTCACACTTGTAAATCCACAGTTGTAATATCTGAATAGGAGACGATAATTTGTGATTGGTTTTTTTTGCGCCATCATGATCATAGACAAAATACAAGCCAGAATGTACCTAAAATGCATAGGAAAGCACGCCTGGTATTATGGGAGAGGACCACACTTGTAATTGAGTACTAAGACTTACAACTTTATCCAACTGAAGTAGGGGACATTGCATCTTTAAAACACTACAGCAGATTTAACTGAAAAAAGTGCTCCTCAAGGTTATAACATGAACCATCCTTTCTTAAAAATATAGCCGGAAATAAGTCCGTCTCGTATCTTAATCCACCTTCAGTGTCTTGAGTTTAGATGTAGAGGAAGATGGCTACACACAAACAGGGTCATTCACTAAAGTTAGAATTTTAAACTCAAGGCGGAAATGGTTGCCTGACAACACTCTTTAAGTCCGTTCTGCTACTTGCCCTTCAATTTGAAATTAACTTTACATTATCACTTTAGGGCGTAATCTTGGAGCTGTTATGCTAAGGCCCACCACCCTTGAATTTGGACTCCAACAAGAAAGAATCAGCTAATACATAACCAGTAATATTTTTCTATGTATTTAAAGAACTACATGCCTGATACATTTTAAAACCACTTTCTTCCATCAGTCAAGAATTTGCTTGTTGCCACACTTGCCCAAATGAGCTCAAGAGTAATATGGATAAATGTGCCCAAGAGGTGAATACTCACAACAATTGACCCTACAGATCCTGACAATCCCAACAATATCTTGTTGAAGAAACAACTAGCCTAAGCTGGAAGCTCCACCGGACTTGATGTTCACTTCCCCTGGTGCGGTTACTTTAAACACAGATGCCTGTTCTTAGCCTCCCACAGGACAAGCTATTTGGAAGCAGAGCTACTTCCTCTTACTATCCACTCCAGCACTAACAGGATAGTACTGCTGCTGATTATGCCTTGTAGTACTGGACTTTCAAGGACACGGAGACACTTTTTCTGCCTCTTCATATATGGTATCCCCCACACCACCACCACCACACACTCTTACTGACTGTTTTAAAAAAAATTTGTTTCTGTGCCTAGAGCCTATACCACGGTTGTCACATAGGCCACTTCTATAATTATCCCCCTTATGGACCTCTCCACTACATTATTATAATTATTTATAAAGCGCCAACAAGTTCCGTAGTGCTGTACAATGGGTGGACTAACCGACCTATTTGTAAGAAGACGCGTCTGATGCACAGGAACAGAGGAATTGAGGGCCCTGCTCAATGAGCTTACATGCTAGAGGGAGAGGAGTATAGTGACACAAAAGGTAGTATTCATTGAGGGCTTAGTGTTTTGGGCGCGGGGAGAAAAGGCTGTTCACAGTGTAACTGCAGGTGGTTCCCTTATTTACCACTATAATTTCTTAAAGCATATAACTTAGTAGGGTTAACCATACAGATATCTTAGCCATAATTTTATATAGTTAGTAAGAGATCCTCTATTTAACATATATAAATAATTGAGAATACAATATAAAATAAGGATTGTCTTGGAAGCAATACAAATATAAATATAGACATATACAATCCATTCTAGCAGAGTTTATAAGATTAAACTAAATGCTTGCAAATATCATTAATAGATTAACATATCCTTCTGAACATGTCATCATGTCAGCCTTTCTGTCATTTTAAGATGGAGCAGCATCTGTCTCCAAGTCTCTCCTCTGTATCTGAACATTTTAAAGTACACCTATTTATACCTTAGGTGTCTCCATTTCAGGGTTACCGTAGTTCATATATGAAAAAGTAACGCCTTTTACTTTATTCATTTTAGGACCTCCCTTAATTTGGCAAACATACAAGGCCATTACTAAAGGGTGCATATGTCATGGAAATTTTCCTGACTAAGTTCAAGATACCATCTTAAAGTCTGTACATCTTTATCTACTTAAGATTACCACAGTATATTGTGTACTGAAAGAGTCGTAGCATAGCCTTGAAGCTTGTTTATGCATGATTGTTATTGTAATTCGTCAGGGACAAAATGGCGCAAACATATTATGCACTGAGGTTATTGCTTAAAGAAACATCTATGAAAAACAATATGTTGCATTTCTAACACCTTGTCAGTTTGCAATATCTCTTAAAGACAAAGTACACAGTTTAAGAAATACAACATTTCATTCTAAAACTTGTAATATTTACATTTGCCCATAACACCCTCTCCATTAAACTGTGGGCTTTGTAGCACATTTCTTCCTTAAATTAGTAAACCAAAGTTCTCCAACTGTCTTTAGGTTTTTTTTGTGCTCCCAGCATTTTTGATCATTGTTGTAACAGTAAAATATCCTTAGTGTGATCTTTGCCTGTAAAGGTGGTTCACTAAAACAAGCTTTTGTCTGGAAAAGAATTGAAAAGAACACCAGGTTCCAGAGTAAGATATTCTTGGATGGATCCGGATACGAATTGTAATCCAAAGTTAAAAGTAGTAATTGTATTTGTAATCCAAAGTCTTTAAAGACCTGTAGAAGTTTACATTCCTTAGATACATTGCTGGAGGTTGTGTTTGTAGAATACCCGGGTATTTGTTGTAGAGTATAGGTTGTAGAGTCCAGCTTTCCAAATATTTGGCTAGAATTGGTTGCAGATATTGAATAAGCATCATCTGTTATCACCGTGGTGATGGTGTTGGTCTTTGTCTTTGCTTTTTTTTTTTTTTATGAAACATTTTTACACAATGATGTGTATAGATTGGATATTCTCCAATATTCTTTTACGGAATAAATTAATTGACAGCATTCCCAAGACATTGTCTTAAGTGACATGGATCCCATTATAGTAAATGTTATGTTGATACAGCAATCGAAGTGGATTCTCAAGAACGCCCCTTTTTGCTGTATTGAGATAGACATCTCACTGACATCAGGTGCTGTTGTGCTAAAAATGTTAACAGGTAAAATCTGTGGAAAAATCTTTACATTTGTTATACTTTGTATAATAATGATAGATGAAATAGTAACATAGTTAATCTTTCTAGTGTTTTGTTTTAAAGATAAACACTCTTGTACATGATTTAGATATAAGGATAATTTGAAGCAGCAAAGTATTTACCACCTTTGTTCACAATGATATGTAAAATTCCATTCTCTTTAAATGTTAAAACTCCTTTATTCAAAATCTCTCAATCTATTTAGAATAGTTGCTAATTGGAAATATGACGTTAATTATCTTTCTTTGACCTGTTAGGGAGAAGACAACTTATTCCCTAGTTATTAGTGGGTTTTTTTTTGTTTTTTTTTAAACCAAGATCTGACATTGTGGAAAGTTTCGTTCGTGAGATTGGATGCTTAACAATGTGAATCTTAATTGTTTAAGTATATTTACCAGTGGCTGTTGCGTGTAACTTAAGATGATTTGAATATTTATTATTTCTAAAAGTGAGTTAAGAAAGCACTCAGATACAATATTGAAGGTATTTATATTTTAGCTCTACCTTTGTATAAGTGGTTTTAATACTTCCACAACAATAGATATCAGAATCTGTTGGAACTATAACTGGTTGAAGTGGGGGTATGTTACAATCAGAATATGAATTAATAATCATATGCATGATGTATTGATTAAACAATCAATAGATGTGGCAGGATCATTACGACAAGGTATATGTACCTTTAATCATCACAAACCAAATAACATTTTCTTGGTATTTGAAAAACCGATAAAATATTTGTAAAAATAGAGAAAGAGAGAGCAAGTGAGTGTCCTCAAAATAAAATATAACTTTTAATGTTGAAACAATTTAAAACAATTATGATAAATGTGGTAACTAGATCATAAAGATCAAAGCAAATATATATACTAGATAAATAAAATACTGAAGGATCGATTTGTTTCCTAAATATTTAGCGATAATGAACAAAGGAGGTCCTGTTCAAAAGTTTTCAGGATAAATCTCCAAATGGTATGCAGAAAACCAAATACAAAACAATAATGTACACGCTGTGAAAGACAAATACGTAGCTCTAAAACACCTAAAAAAGTGGTATCCCTTACACCACTAAAAACATAATACAATACATACAGAATTATAGGTGGAGCTGTGGAGTGTCTTGAACAATCTGGAAAATAGAATATATGTAGATAGCGTAGTATATCTATACAATATATAGCATATTAAAAAATGAGAATAAAAGCACTCACAAGGATAGAGTCATACCGTCATACCAAACAGGTTTTCTAGTGCATTAAAGTATGTGTCTCAATAAGTTAACATAACGGAAACAAACAGTCCATACAGTGTTAGATAAAAATTGCTACACGCATAGTGCTAAGCTGGATCCAAAACCTGCACTAAACTGAATAATGCAATAAAAGAAAAATTGTTCTTCACTAATTGACCAACTCATACAGAGGGAGTAGAGATTCCTACACAAATATGTCAAGAGCATACGCTCTATGAACCCCCAACTCGTATGGCTAGTGTAGGGCTAAATATCCAAATACGAAATATATGAAATCTGAAGTTCATCTAGACAGACAGCAATACTATGGTAAGTACATATCAAAGGAGCCCTTTCCCCTGACGCGCGCGTTTCGCCCACAGCTCATCAGAAGGGAACCGATGTGCGGGAAAAAAACGATATAAAAAGGTAAGTGTGAACATTTAATTGGTCTAATTCAAAAGTTGTCATACATAATTAACCAATAGGAACAGAGCCGGTCGGTAACGTCACTGGAAACCACAA